AAAACCCCTCAGTGCTTACCAGAATAATCACTCAAATGAAATCTTCCCCAGCAGAAGTGCACTCGACACTGCTTCACTACTTCCTCCTTCATCAGGCAGTGAAACACAAAGATAAATAACCCTGAAGAAGAGAAATTCACGGGTTTTCAGGTGAATTCTCCAACCTGCTGCCCCTTTTCTAAAGTGTTTGTGTTCCACTGGGGTACCAGCATGTTCTGTCTGTGCAGAGGAGTGGTCCCTGGGCCAGCATCATGTAATGGGAAGAGCTTTCTGCAGATCTGGTGCAAGAATAATCTGCAAGTCACAGATGAAAAGGATGGTGCCAGATCCTGAAAAGATGCATTTACTGGGCTCTGTGTTTCAAAGGCATCAACTTGTGTCTTTAACAGTGTATCTACCACAGTGATACCATCTGAACAGCACCATCATCCCACTGCAAAGGAGCTTTCTTAAGAAAACAGCTCCACACTAACACAAAACCTGTGTGAACACTCCTCCCCTCCCCTGTTTGAAGTACATGATGTTACAAATTTATTTATATTCCACAGCCCTAAACTGCTGTATTCATAGCAGGGCTCCATTCAGAAATTACCTTGCAAAGTGTTAAAAATGCTGAAGAGATACAAGAAAAATATCCTCACTGCTCCCCAGGCAAAAAAGACAAAGCCCCAAGTTAAGCCCAAAAGGAACATCAAGCTGAAAGCACTTTTGACATCTTGGAGAAATCCCTGTTTCCAGAATCCAGATCTCTTTTGTGTCCTTGATTTCACAGAGTGGATTTGCAGGAGAACAGTGATGAACATGGCTGTGTTGGTCAGAAGTACTAAGAAGACATAGGCCACCACGGAGATGTAAAACACGGTGTTCTCCTCAATCCAGCAACTGCAAGAAAGGGAAGTGTGCTCTCAGTGGGGAGTTTTTTGAGCAGTGAAGCTAATGAAGCCTGGTTTCCAAAATTACTGTCCCATGTGGTTCTCTGGTACCTAGTAAGAGCATTCCCTAACACCCATTACTTCCACCTAGTGAGGACATTCATAGAATCTCTCCACTTGCCTTTTTTAATGGATGTTACAGAAATTCAGTAACTTTAAGACTCCAGGTAGCAACCATATATCCAGAATGATCCACTGAACCAGAACCACTAACAGGAGAGAGTTAAGATTAGACAAGAAAGACAAAAGCAAGAGAGAAGTGAAGTTGTTGCCTTCTGATTATTCCTTGTATCTGGTTAATTCTTGATACTTTGGTGACTATCAAAGAAACTTGAAGCATTATACTTACAAACTGCTGAAGGGGTTGCTCTCAGAATGGGATCCACTGCCATAGAAGTCTTTATTTATAATGAGCACCACAGTAATTATAATAGCTGGAATTCCTAAGATGGAAGGCAAGGGAAAAATAAATATTTAGATTAAAAAGTTGAGCATATGGAAAGATGTCAGATAATCTCTGATGAGTAATTACAGCAGACAAGTACATCTTAGGATCAAACTCTACCCCTCAAGCTCCTGAAACAAGCATCATTACATGGGTGGCCTAGCAGGTTTAATCTCCTGGTTTCTGTAAATTACAAGTGAGTAGACATAAACATGTTTGTGAGTGTTCAAACATCTCCACAAGGGATCTAATTTGCTAAAATAAAACCAAGGGATTATTACAAGAAGCAGAGTGTCAAAAGATAAGCAAGACCATTTTGTGTTAAGATCTGATCAAGACAGACATTTTCCAGACAGGATTTTATCATTCTTCTCATCCACTCATTTCCCATTTTCCATATTTCAGTTCTGGCTTTGCTGTTTGTAGCACCACCAGCATGGATGGCTGCCGCAGAGAACAAGAATGTGCTACACCAGGTCTAAGGACAGAGATGATGATCTGCTGCACACTATTCAAGAGCTTTAAAACCCCTGTAAAACAGCATCTAATGGTGACCCAAAACATACAGACCAAATCCTGCTCTGGGCCAGCACCTCTTTTCTAACAGCTGACCCAGATTTTGGGTCCTTTTTGCTATGAGGTACCACAAAAAAAACATTCCTGTAAAGAAAAAGAGGGGTAGGGAA